ACACACACACACACACACACACACACACACACACACACACACACACACAAAATAATAAACTTAATTTTAAGAAAAGAGTACCACAAAGAGAAATCATTCCTTTTCACCATGAAAAGAGCAGAGCAAATACCCCTTGCTCTGATGCGTCACTCTCAGGTCTTCTGAAGTTGGCTTCTTCCTTAACCTCTCAGCAGGTCTAAGGTCTCTCCCTGTGGCTCCTCTTACCTGAGTGCTAGATGCCACCCGTTCATGCTCTGCCAGCCGTGCAGCTACCAGCTGGATTAATTCTTCCATGGTCAGGCCCGCCATGGTGGTACGTGCTGTCTTGATTTGCTGAAGAATGTTGGTCATCTGGGCCCTGATGAGGGAAAGAAAATCAATCTTCATAGAACATCCACACAACCTCATTTCAAACCATAAGCACTTCTCTGACAGATACCTGAACTGATTCATAACGACACTTACTTATTACACTGTGGGAACCGAGTCAGCAGCTTCTCCAGGATCTTCTCCAGTTTGTCTACTGGTTGGGGCCGGGGAGTTTCAGTAGAAGCCTTAATACCGCCCAAGCCTGGGGGAGGCGGGATGGAGGCAGCAGGAGGCATGTGTGGACCATGAGGGCTGACCAAGGAACCCAAGCCAGGGCTGTTTCTCCCATGTGAGCCAGGAAGAGGTGGGGAAGGTTGTTTAGACTGGGAAAGGGCGGGGTTCAAGATTGGAAAAGACAACGAGCGAGGATCTGCACTGGGCATAACCAGAGGCATTGTGACCTGCCCAATAGAGAAGGGCATCCGAGGGGTCAGAGAGGGACTGGGCTGAAATACTTGAAGCATGAAATCTGCCTGCAAAGGAGAAGAGATGGAGGACAAAAAGAGATAGGGAGAAAAGGTTAGGAACTGGAGCAAAGGACAGAGAGATGATTCAGTTGGTAAAGTATCTGCCTTGCAAGCATAAGGACCTGAGTTCACATACCCACACCCACACAGAAGCATACAGTGGGGCATAGATCTGTAACCCTAATGCTGTGGGAGCAAAGAAAAGCAGGTCCCTGCAGTGGCCAGCCAGTTTAGCCAAACCCTGAGCTCTAGCTTCGGCAAGAGACTCAAAAAGTAAGCCAGGCAGGCTGGGGATGGTAATGGACGTGTTCAATCCCAGGACTCAGGAAGCAGAGACAGATGGATCTCTGTGACTCTTAAGGGCAGAGTGGTCTACCTAGTGAGTTCGAAGACAACCAGGGCTACATAGTAAGACCCTGTCTCAAACAATGAAACAGGCCTAAGAGGTAAAAAGTAACCCAAAGTTCATTCTGGCCTAAGTACATGGGAACACACATATACATACACAAAACCACATGTGCACACATATACAAGCATGCATTCACATATACGTTATATAAACATAGACACACACACACACACACACACACACACACACAAATATTTTTAGGAGCTGAGTAGTGGTGGTGCATCACTTCAGTCCCAGCACTTGGGAGGCAGAGGCAACTGGTTCGAGACCAGCCTACTCTACAAAGGGAGTTCAGGACAGCCAGAGCTATACAGAGAAACCCTTCCTTGAAAAACCAAAACAAAAAAAGGCAAACAAGCAGAGAACTCTGACTGTCGACAACACGCACGCCAGACTCCTCAGGGCCAGCAATCTTACCTCTGAGGGGGGTGGAGGCAAAGTGGGGGTAGGGATCTGAGGAAGGCTGCTCAGCTTGGCTCCATTCCTTACTAGCTGGATATGACTATTAAACTGGTCCTGGAACAAAAGGAAGAGAAAGGATTGTCCTTCACTGCTGGGCTGCATGGACCTTGGGAGAAAGCACACACCAACTCTCTGGAGAGCACAGGAGTGGTGGGGCAGGCTCTGAGCAGCAGTGCAAGAGGTTAGCCACCAGCCCACGGTCAGGAGAGGGTGAGCACAGCCTGGGGCTGACTGACTCACCATTGCTAACTACACTCACCCGAACATTCTTTTTCATTATCCGAACTCCATTCAGTCTTGTCTCCCACTCTTGTTTGGAACGAACTGTGTCCAGTGTTGGAGGAGTTGACCTTTCAAAAAAACAAAGAATTCACAGAATTCAAAAAACAAAATAACAACAGTCAATCAAGCAATTCCTTTGTTTGTTTGTTTGTTTGTTTGTTTGTTTTTTCAAGATGGCGTCCCTCTGTGTAGCTCTAAATGTCCTGGAACTCGCTCTGCAGAACAAGCTGGCCTCACAGAAACACACCTACCTCTGCCTCCCAAGTGCTAGGATTAAAGCCATGTGCTACCACCACCACCTAGCTAACAATCAATTCTTAATTTATGGAAAATATACACCAAGAAGCAGTTTGGGCCAAAAAGCATTTCCTCCATACGTGGTCCCTCAAAGTCACTAAGAGCAAGATGGCAGCCCAACACGTCTGCCTCCTCTTTGGGTCAGCGTGTGCTCGACTCTGCATAGGCATGTTACTTATCTCTCATATATCACTTATTAGCATTTAACTAATCTATAGCCTACCCTTTTGATGATGGCACAAAGACAACTGTCCTAAAATTTCAGTCACTTTGGATTCCAGGAAGAATAAAACTTCCAAAGAAAGGCCACCCCTCTACATGAGTGCAATCATCCATGAGGGTAAGCCTGCACCCTAAAGTCATCTTGTGGGGACCTGACTGATCCCCTCAAGTGATGACAGCTGTAAGAACTTCATTAGATCACCTTACAGATCAAGAACCAAAACAAATTATCAATGAGACTACATCTTGAGCCACACTGGTTAATTATTTACCCCTCTGGCCCCTTGCCCCAAACCCTTCTCTTTGTAAACCTAAAGTTCAGTGCGACATCATGGTGCATACCTATCAAGCAAACATTCTGAAGGTAGAGGCAGAAGAATCATGTGTTCCAGGCAGCCTGGACTACACAAAATCTTATCCCAAGCAAAGCACTAGGACTAGAGAGATGATGGCTCAGCATCATCTTAAGTTAATAGGGCTTGCTGCTCCTGCAGAATGAAGTATGGTTCCTAGCATCCACATTGAGCACTTATAAGACATAACTGTAGGTGCCTGTACACATGTGTATACAAACACTCAAACATACACACATAAATATAAATTTTAAAAAGTCTTTTTAAAAACCTATACAAACAGTCAAGCGTGATGGCACACCTTTAATCCCAGTACTCAGGGAGGCAGAGGCAGGCAGATAACTGTGAGTTTGAGGCCAGCCTGATCTACAGAGCAAGTCCAGGACAGCCAAGGCTACATGGAGAAACCCTGTCTTGGGGAAGGGGGAAGATGTAGGAGCAAAGAGTCAAGGTCATCTGCTTCATATAAATGATACACTTTTCTGTTTGAAACATGGTCTCCTGTGTAAACCATCTTGCCTGGAATTTTCAATCCTCCTGCCTCAGACTCCCAATTACTGGAGTCTCCCAATTACAGGAAAGTACCAGCATGCTGGTTCAAGTCATCATCCACAGAGAGGGTTCTGGCCTGCCTGAAAATGATATAGGGATCCTCCAAATCCTGGGGCAGGCAGAGGAGAAATGGCCATGGAAGAAACAAAGCGCCAAAGACCTATATTATGTTTTGATGGTTTATACAGAAATACAATAATAAAAAGCACAAAGCTATAAAAAGAGGATAAAGTGAGGAAATACAGAAAGAACATGGAAGAGAACACAGAAATGGCCTTAAAAGCTTATGAAGACAGATGCCCGCCAGGCCTACTGGCCTAGGCCTTAGAGGGAGGCACTTACTTGAGGTAAGTCAGATGAAGCTCTGCTTCTTTCTCTGCTTCTTCCAGTTTCAACACCAGCAACTCCTTCCTGCTCTCTAGTGACAGGATCTAAGGAACCCATTCATGCACATGTGCGAACACACACACACACACACAGAGTGGGGAGAGGGAGAAAATGCTTATTAACTTTACAAACACAAACTATGTATAGTTAGAACAAATGCCTCCAGGCTTCTAATACTCTACAAAACAGCATCTGGGAGCATAAAGCCCAGGCTCTGAAGACATTGTCTCTTCTTACCTCTGCCTTCCAGGCCCGCTCTGTCTCTTCCATAATGTTCCGGTTGATTTCACCATCCTGGTTCTTGAGTCTATCCAGTTCCATTTCCCACACTTCTCTATACAGCAAGAAGCCGAGAACAAGGTTAAGGGAGGAAACACGGCCTGTTGAGCAACACCAAGGCAAAAGGAAGCCCCAGGCTGCTGTGCGGGGGCTGCTGTGAAGCCTTACTCCCGGGGCTCACTCCAGAGACACAAACGGTATCTACAGTGGTCTAAACTGCAAACAGCTCCAACATGGGACATGGCCACTTCTCCACTTACTCAAGTAAAGTTAACAAATATACATTCAATATTATATAGAGCCCAAACATAGCTGGACACAGTAGCTCATGCCTGTAATCCTAGTCCTTGGAAGGCTAAAACAGGTGGATTGCTTTTGGACTACAGGTGAGACCCTGTCTCAAAGAAACAAAACTCTTCATGAGGCCAATGCTCCATGTATTCAAGGCATTCAAACTCTTTAAGGTATTCTTTTACTTCTCAGTGTGTTTTCCAATGCGGATGGTAAAGAGCACCAGACCAAATGCTGGGCCAGTCAACACTCATCTCTAACACTCAGTTGGTCACTTGTTACTGGCTTCCTGATCTCTACATTTCCTTAACTACAGTAAAATTCTTCAAAAGATGGGATTGGGAGGGAATGAAGGAGGGGGCTGCAGCTGGGATACAAAGTGAATAAACTGTAATTAATATAAAAAATAAAAATTTAATTAAAAAAAAACTCTTCAAAAGGAAGATGTGGCAGATAGCTAAGGATTGTGGTAGTGATTCCAGTACTTGAGAGCTTAAGACAAGAGGATCGCCACAAATTTAAGGACAAACTAGACAACACACTGTGTTCTAAGCCAGCTTATGCTATAAGGTAAGATTCTGTTTCAAAAAGGAAAATGTATTTCTATCATACCTAGCACTCCTCTTTTTTATCTGTTTCTCCCATCTTAAAATGTTTTCTACCCCAACTCCTATCCCTAGGGTTGGTGAGCCTAGCACTGGAGTATCTCCTAGGAGATGGGTCTTTCTATATTAAACTGGGACAGCTCACCCTCCTACTCAGGACTGAAGGGCCACCGTGGAATAGACCAGGAAGAGGATTTTCTATTACACTTGCCTGTGAGCTGAAAGCATGGATTATTCAGATTCATGCAAAGAATTGAATGAAAATGTTCCATGTTATCTTCGATGCATTTTAAAAAGGCAAAAGAAAATAGTTTGAGAAAAGTTACATACTAAGAGAAATACTTTTACTTTTCTCTATTGAGAGAAATTATTTTATTCTTCTTAGTAACCTTAAGCATATGAAAGCACAACTCATTCCTTCTCTTCCTTAGTTGGTTTTGTTGTTTTGTTTTTAAAGACAGGGCCTCACTATATAGCTCTGGCTGTCCTGAAACTCACTATATAGATCAGGTTGGCCTCAATGTCACAGAGATCCATTTACTTTTGCCTCCTAAGTGCTGGGACCAAAGGTCCTTACCACCACATATATAGTGTTTTTGTTGTATTTTCCCCCTGCCCTCAGACAGGGTCTCTATGTTCCCTTGCAGCAAACCTCATGTTTCAGCTTCCCCATTGCTTGGATTTAAGTGTGAGTCACCATGCCCAGCAAAAGGCAGTAATTCTCTTTTAAAATTTTATGTATGTATGTATGTATGTATGTATGTATCTGTCTGTCTATCTATCTTTTATGTATAGGTGTTTTGTCTGAATGTATGGTTGTGTACTACATCTGTGCCTGGCACCCTCAGAGGTCCTGAGATTGGAGTAACAGACAGCTGTGAGTGTGAGCTGCCATGTGGGTATTAGGAACAGAACCGGAGACCTTTGGAAGGACAGCTGTGGAGCCATCTCTGCAGCCCCAGAGGCATTTCTCCTAACAGAAGTGTCTACGGCTCATTCCCCTCACATAGCCCTGTTCACCGATTTCTCCACAGATCCCTGCCCTCTATCTGAGATTCTGGGTGTTTGCTACATACATATCCATTCGCTTATTGACATAAATGTGCATCTGCTTTCTACTGACAAGTTCTGCTCTCTAACAGACCTGAGTAGGTGACCCACATGGTCTCCAGATTAACTTCTGTCACATGAAGAATTCTCCAGCAGTTCTTTAAAGGCTGATAGGTAACTATACTTTCCTGACAAAACATAAGCTTCCAAAGCTAGAATCTCAACATAAGAATATGTAGAATATGCTAGGGCTGGAGAGATGGCTCAGAGGTTAGGAGCACCGAATGCTCTTCCTGAAGACCCAAGTTCAGTTCCCAGCACACATATGGCATCCCACAACTGTCTGTAACTCCAAGATCTAACATACATCCAAGCAAAACATCAATGCAGTAAATAAGTAAACAAAATAACAAATAAAGAATATGTAGAATGCTTTACGAAGTCCAATGATGTCCCACCTAGTTTGGAATTCTTCCTTTGATAATGAGATAATTATAGAACATGACAGATTGCTTTCTGTGTCTGGTGATATCCTTGAAGATGACAGACACTTAAGAAATAGTTTGTCTTTTACTAAATACATATGTCAACTACATATGTATTTATATATGTATATACTTATATCAGAGAAATCCTCTTCTGGGTATGGAAAAAGCCACATATTCACAAACAAAGATTCTTTCCCTTTGGCCATTTGGCCACATTTACCATACTGGCATCCAAATAAAAGAGAACTTCTGACCAATACAACAAAAATGGATAGGAATGGCTGGCAAGAAAGCGCAGTAAGTAAAGGTATTTGCTGCTGAGTCTGATGACCAGAGTTCAATCTCTAGGACCCATATGGGGTAAGGAGAGACAATTCATGCAAGCCGCCCTCTGAACTCCACATGTGCTTGCACTGGCTTAGTTAGCGTTTCCCTTAGCTGTGGCAAAACATCGTGACTGTAAGCAATTTGGGGAAGAAAAAGTTTATTCTGCTTACACTTCCACATCACAGTCCATTACTGATGGAAGTCAGGGCAAGAAACGCTGCAGAGGCCACGAAAGAGTGCTGCCTACTGGCTGGCTCGGCCTGTTTTCTTATAGCATTAGGACTACCAGCACAAGAGTGGCACCACCCACAGTGGGTGAGCCCTCCAACATCACTAATTTTGCAGGGAGGAAGAGGTTCAAGATAGGGTTTCTCTGTGTAACCCTGGCTGTCCTGGACTCACTTTGTACACTAGGCTGGCCTTGAACTCACAAAGACCCACCTGCCTCTGCCTCCCAGAGTGCTGGGATCACAGACATGCGTCACCACACCCAGCTTCACTATCTTTTTAAGATTTATTTACTAATTATGAATACAAAGTCTGCCTACATGTAAGCCTGCACAACAGAGGGCACCAGATCTCATTCTAGATGTTTATGACCCACCATGTGGTCCCTGGGAATTGAACTCAGGATCTCTGAAAGAACCAATGCTCTTAACCTCTGAGCCATCTCTCCCCCACATCACTAATTAAGAAAATGTGCCAGGCAGTGGTCATGCACACTTTTAATCCCTGCACATGGGAGGCAGAGGCAGGTGGATCTCTGAGTTTGAGGCCAGCCTGGTCTACAGAGTGAGTTCCAGGAGAGCCAGGGCTACATAGAGAAACCCTGTCTCAAAAAAAGAAAAGAAAGAAAGAAAAGAAAATCCACTACAGTCCTGCCTACAGGCCAATCTTACAGAGGCATTTTCTCAATTCAGAGTCTGTAAAAGTATCTTTTATTCACCTGAGGTAACTGTTGTCTCCAAGGCTTATTGCCTCCATCTGCTAACTTAGGTCTAGTCCTGGAAGCTTCTAGCCTCTGTATAATCTAATGTTTTCAGCCTCTCAGACTTACTGATAAATAAGCTCACCCTTTTTAGTTTTTTCTTAACTCTGACTGGCTGGTTCAACTCAGCTGTTATGGTTCAAATTCCTCTCCAATCTGGTATTTCTCTTGGCCTCTGAATGAATTGCTCTGTGTGGCCTCAAACTAACTCTGACAATCTGTTCTAAATCTCCTGGTTCCTTCTCTGTCTCATTCTATCTTCACCTATGTCTAGCTTGTTCTCATTCTCTCTCTCCTCTCTCTCTGTTTTGTTTTTTAGACAGGGTTACTGTGTGTACCCTTGGCTGTCCTCAAACTCACAGAGAAATGACTGTCTCTGCCTCCTGAGTGCTAGGAATACAGGCCTGCACCATCAAGCCCAGCTGTGCTTGTTCTCTCTTTAACCTGTCTCTGTAAAACTTGCCCAGTAAAACTGCCTCCTCTTTCCCTCTCTTCTGCGCTCCTATCCTTGAAATCACCTCTCTTCTCTCTTCTTGAGAGAGTTGGATTTATCCTATCCTGTTAAATCGTTCTCTGATTTGTCACTTTGTCTGCCTCTCAATTAGACATTACTTTCAAACATGGGTGCTTCCTTCCAACAACTAACCTTACCTACATTGTTTGGGATTAAAGGTGTGTACTAAGGACATGTCATTACTCCATCCAGAGTAGCCATGCTTCTGGATTAAAATCCCTCTACATCTCCCCCCTTTCTGTTTAAACTAAAACACAGCTTAATTCTTTACAACAGAAACAATTATCAATCCCACAAATTTAGGTCTGAATGTCCTCATCAAGATCCATTAATGCGATGATTCTTCATAACTGCAGTCCTAATTACATGTCTTCAGAAGCATCAAGGTTTTCAGTCTGTCATGCTGATGAATGATCTGTCCTTTTTCAGCTGGTTGTTGAAACTGTCTTCATGCAGTGGGATCTGCTTTCTGTGTCTCTTCCTTGAGTCATACCTTTCACGTGGAAGCCTCTCTTATTTGGATCAGAACTTTATCAATTTTGATGGAACCCATAGTCTATCACAGTTTCAACAATGTTTAAAAGTCCAAAGTTCAAAGTCTCTTCTGAGATTCATGCAACCTCTTAACTGTAATCTCCTATAAAATCAAAATCAAAAAGCAGATCACATACTTTCAACTTATCATGGCACAGAATATACATTACCGTTCCAAAACATAGGGAAGAGGAGCACAGTAAGGAGATACTGGACCAAAGCAAGAATGAAAACCAGCTGAGCAAACTCCAAACTCTC